ATAATCTAGTGATTGATTTTGAAATACACCTACAATCAAAGGTTTCCTAGCGCGACTTATTCTCGTCGCATGCAATTTAAACCAATCATGTTGTTTTGGTGATGTCAGAATTTCATATGGTGTCAACTCATCTTTATCATCAGTAATTTCAATTTTCTTTTCTGATTGCATTTCTCTAATCACATTAACAATTTCCAATGCTCGATCCAATGGAACTTGTCGTCTAGACTTTGCAAAGATAAGGCCAATAATATCGGCCCCAGCATCAGCTGCTTCAATGGCCGCTTCAATAGTTAAAATTCCACATATTTTTACTAAAGGACTTCTTGGTGCTTTAATTTTCAATGATAATGTTGCACTATCTACATTTGCATCATCCTCTTCTTTTAAATCAAGTATCCCTTTAACAAAAGCTCGCTTGTTTTTTGATTTCATTAATGCTTCACCGATTAAAAACCCACAAACACCTTGATCAAGGTAACTAATCACATCAGCACGACCAGTAATTCCACTCAAAGCCACCAACATAACACCTTCGGGAACCAATTCAGCCAACCTGGAGGTTGTGTTCATATCGACGTCAAAAGTATGAAGATTACGATTATTTACTCCGATAACCTTTGCTCCCAATTTCACGGCCCTCCTCATTTCTTCTTCGTTATTAACTTCCACCAAAGGTTCCATTCCAAGATTATTGGAAAAGTTGTATAATTCTTCAAGTTTCTCATTCGATAAAATGGCAACAATGAGTAGGATTGTATCAGCACCATAAAGTCTCGCTTCCATAATCTGATATGTATCCACAATAAAATCCTTCCTTAGGATAGCAGGGCGATTTGGGAGTGTTGACAAGACGTCACGAACTTGCCTCATATCATTCAATGTACCCTTAAACCACTTAGATTCAGTTAATACTGAAATGACCGAGGCTCCAGCTTTAGCATAGATAAGTGCTTGCTCGGCTGCATTGACCGATAAATCAATGTTTCCTTTACTCGGTGAAGCTCGTTTAATTTCGGCGAAAATTGACGGATATTTTGGTAAAGTTTGTTTAATCCTTGTAACGAAATCGATAAGTGGAGGCGCCACATGAAGAGATAATAATTTCTTAAGATCGTTAAGTGAAGAACCTGGTTGTCCTTTTGCCAACTCGATATCTTTTAATCGTTGATTATGAATCTTTTCGAGTATAGTTTGCACAGGTTTTGTTATGGCAGCAGTATTTGCCAGAGGTGGTTTAATGCAGAATGCAGGGTTATCTTCCCATTTACCACCTTGAAGACTTAAGAAATTCGATAAAATGACCTTTCCATGTTCAGAAAGAATACTTTCAGGGTGAAATTGTACACCTTCGATTGTAAATTCACGATGTCTCACGCCCATCAAGACACCAGATTCAGTCCAGCTAGTAGTTTCCAATTCATCAGGTACCGTATTTGGAAGTCCAGCTAATGAATGATATCGGGTAGCTTTGATACCTTTTGGAACATTAATATAACAACCCTTACCATCATGTGTTATAGTACTAACTTTGCCATGTACGATTTCACCTGCGTAATCAATCTTCCCCCCATAAAATTCAAAAATACATTGTTCTCCAAGACATACACCAAAAATCGGAATCTTTCCGGCAAAATGCGAGATAAGATCACGAGAAATTCCTGAATCTGTCGAAGGCTTTCCTGGACCCGGTGAAATAATTATATTTTTTGGATTAATTGAGATTATATGTTCAACTGTGGTCTCATCATTACGAAATACTAGAACTTGTGCACCGAGTTCTGATATGTATTGATAAATATTCCAAGTGAATGAATCATAATTATCAATTAATATCGTAATATTTGATGTTTGTGGTGCTGGTGACATAATCGATAAAAAAAAAAAAGAAAGAAAGAAAAAAAGAGTGAAAAAAATCAGAAAAAAAAAAAAAAATGATTGACAAATTTTTATTATTGTTGTACCAATATATTTATTGTTACATTGACTACCCTATATTCGTGTGTTAGAGTGTCCAGGATTATGCTGCGGCATAATATTGAATTTAGTTATAATTTATCACATAATCACATAATCCGCAGTAAAAATCTCAATTTTTATTGGTTATTAAGATTTGATCTTTTATCAGATGCTATTTTTAATAAATTCGATCAATCATGACGAAAAGTGCAACCCAACGTGCAAAAGAACCCGAATACAAAGATAACGTCTATGTAGATGGAGCCAAACTTTTTTGCCGTTATTATTATGTTAAATTTTATAGTAAAAATTAATAGATTGATTTTATTATTGTTATAAATAAAGTTTTTACAATTTCGGTATATTAAATAAATCCTTTTTAAATTATAAATTAATTTAATAATTTTGGCCAAAATTATAAACGCATAATTTATTTTATTACGCATGCATCATTTGGTATTTACACAGCATAATCCTGGACACTTCATGTAATCGGGCCGGGTCCGTAGCCTTGATTTTTTCCGTGTCGATCATTACACAATAGAGGACTTCGAATATGGAACATTTCAACGAATTAAAAATCTTGCCCGAAGATAAATAATTAAAGATATACTGAATACTAATTGTTCTCATTAGGAAAAAAAGATATTCTTCTAGCTTTTAAGGATGTTAATTTACTGAGAAAAATATCCCTCAAATATATTTTTAGAATCTCAAATAATAATTTTTTTTTTTTTTTCAGGCTTAGAAGTGAGTGATGCGCCCGCTAAAAAAATTTTTTTTTTTTATTTTATTTAATGTTGATCTCATTGTAGTAACATTATTTAGTAGTTCCGTTCATTACCGATTTATTTTTTTTTTTTTTTGTTTCAAGGTTTCGATACCTCTAAATAAATAATAATAATATATATTCTTTTAGTTAAACGACGATGTTAACTCTCACGACATTTGCAAGGGAAAAGCTTGCCGTTATGATTGGCATATCTGATAGGCCCAATTTGGTACATTATCCCAATCGTTCGAGCACATTCACTTGAAAGCATATCTCGAGATTACCTGAAGTTTGAGGTAAAAAAATTTGATTATATGGGAAGAAAATCAGGTTCCGAGAAATTTTTGACTAAAATTTAATAAATAAAATGCGGAACCTGATTTTCCAAGAAATCAACCCATATTTAAATAATTTTTCCTTTATAAAAAGGCACCTTTTACATTCATAAAGAAATCTCCAAGAGATAATAAGAAAAGTGAACCGAAATTTTTATTTTGTATTCATTTTGTTGGCGAGGCTTTCCATGGTCCATTCAATTCTACATCAACTGGTTCATTTAACACTTGTACCTTATCCTGTCGTCCCTGGACAAGTCGCGCTTTTTACATTTCCGGAACTAGCAAAAGAAAATATGTCATAGACGATCCTTTAATTTTTTTTTTTGATAAATTAAATTTTATACATCATTTGTTATTAGTGTTGAAAAAAAGAAAAGAAATTTAATTTGTTCTTGACTAGAATTTAACACATTAATTTTTATTCCGAGTAAAGTAACTTTTGGCCACGAATTATGAATAAAGTTGCAATCGTTTTTTTGTGATACTCGGAAAAATTTTTTCAGAAAAAGTGAAAATAACTTTTTATGGTTCTTTCCTAATTCTTAATTTACCCTGACATAGGAAAAAATATTTATTAATAATAGATCCCACGAGTTTTTGATTGAATTAAATTCAAGTGACTGTTTATTGTATTTTCTGGAGCTAAAAATTAACAGAAATAAAAGGCAATAGTTTTCAATTATGTCATTATGTTTCGTCAACGAAAAAGGTTTAAATCATATGTTTTTGAAGTAAGTTGACTCAATGACTTATAGCACATTTGAGTATGTTTTAAATAAAAAAAATTTTTTTTTTTCACGTTCGTTTTAATAATCTTAACGACATCGTTACTTGCTAATTAATTACTTATTTGATGAGTAAATGAAATATTGAAGCAAACGTAAATCCCTATGGCATAACTGGTGTATTATTATCTCAATAAAGTAATTTAGAAACGATACGATATTAAAGAAACATAATTGAATTAGTAAATTACGGGAATTTTTGTTATTATAACTAGAGGAAAATATATAAAATAAATCCTATAAAAGATGTAATAAATATAACGATAAGAAAATATGAGGTATAACTAACAGAATTAATAATACATTAACAATATATCGTACATAACTCATATCACTAATAGATATTGATTTGTTGAAAAGCTTCGACAACTTTCCTTTTTGGTGTAATGTTTGTTTTAAAAAGGATAATGGATGATTAGCCATTATTACTTTTTTTTAAAAAAAAAAAAGGTTGGAATAAAAAAAAGTCTCTGGAATACGAAATACGATGTGTGCAATAAAATTTGTGACAATAATTTGTTGAAAACAATGAATTTGATTTTATTTGAATTCACCGATTTACAGTAACATCAGACCTCTATTTGGTTGTTTGATTTTAGAAACCTGTTAATTAATGCTTTTAATCATTTTATACATACCTTTGTATTTAATATGTCCAAGTAAGTTTCTTACAAACTACTTCTTTGCGCTTTATACCTGTAATAAATTAAGTTTTTTTTATGAATAATTCATCAATTTGGGATACGCTTTAATTTGTGTCAATTTATTTAAAAAAAGTTAACTGGGGTTTCTATCGCGTAAGTATTTCTATAATTCTTTTGATAAAGAAGATGTAAAAGAAAACGTTTGACGATATGTTTATTGAAAATTTGCTCGGTAATTCCCCATAAGGAATATAAGGAACATTTTCTTCGGCAATTTCCCACTTGGTGTCATATTTGTTTTTAGTCAATCATTTTTCGGGAGCGCAATGTCGCACAACTTCTATGCTATTGCCCCAAAAATGGCAAATGGCTTCTCTTTGAATAGGAATTTTTCCTTGAAAGATGAAAAATATATATATATATATATGTAACAGCACTGCGATATCAAAATTTCATCTAACTTTTAAGTAACCTTTCTAATAAATCATTTTGACGACAGAGATTTTTTACCCTGGATGCTTGGCTTTTTTTTAGAAATTCAGAGTCCTACATTATATTCAATATGACTACTTTACCGCAAGCTATTATGTAACGGCATATTTTCTTTTTATTTTAAAAAAAGTTTATATATTATAATCTAAATTAGCAAATAAGCTGAATAATTATGCACCCTTTTCGTCAGGGATGGTAAAATTCTAGGTCAAGGACTTAAAGGCTCGCTGATCATTAGGTCATGTTTTTAGGTTATATGTATACATACGTCATTTAAAATCTTATTTTAATATCATTAATATCATTAACTCGCGTATTAAGTGAATGGTATTAAAGCTTAATTGTTTTAGAGTTTAGGAATAAATTAGATTTTCGGTGTTAAAAAAACACTTTTTTTTATTTTTATAAAATATTTTATAATACATAATATTTTCAAAGTAAAAATATTTACCATTATATAATTGTGTTAGTTCAGGAACCAGATCCTTGGGGTAAAGTCCAGGATCGTATTTAATAATTATTTCAGGAGCCGGACTGCAAGTCCATTTAATAGTACTCATATGTCCTGGGATCAGGTCAGAACTAACCAACCCTACTTCTCGGTACAGCAACATATTACTTCTCCAGTAAAGCAAAACGCATAAAGTGACTAATTCGATAAAGCAACGAATCACTTCCCTCCATCGGTAAAACAAACGGTATAGGTTCATTTGGTAAAGCAATGTATCCGGTAAAGAAACTTATCGTCTTCATTTCGGTAAGTAACATATAAACCCTGGTAAAGTAAACTGTACCCTCGGTAATGAAACGCGCCCCTCGGTAAATCACGTATAGCCTCGGTAATGCAACGCGCTCCCCGGTAAATCACGTATAGCCTCGGTAATGCAACGCGACCCTTGGTAAAGAACGTATATTCCCTGGTAATGCAACACGCCCCTTGGTAAAGCAAATTATTGACCCGGTAAAGCAAAGTACAACCCTGGTAAGGCAACGCGCTCCCTGGTAAACAATAGAGCTGAGCATTTACCCTGAAACATTTTGCTCACCTTTGGTAGAGAAATACACATTGTCGAATTCCTCCACAACATAAAGTAGTAAATCCATTAAGTGTCTGAAGTGTTTCTTATAATATTTCAATTATTCAATAAGAGAGAGTCCAGACTTATTTCAAAAAAGTCGATTTAACCTTGTAAATAAATTCAATCCAATAACGAATCCGACTTGGCCGAAAGAATCCGTTGGGGTAAATATTAATTAGAAAAAACAAAAAACATAAAGGCTTGATAACTCAATCGCCCGCGAATTAATTTATCCGAGTCGGCTTCTTTGATATTGAATTTATATTAGAAATCAACCCAACTTTTGAAAGTTGAAAAAATGCGCTAATTGTTGAATTTTAATTATCATCAAATATCGTTTTATTACCTTAAGTGACGATTTATATAGTTCTTTGTCAAATGTATTTAACATATCCTTGTAATTTAAAGATATATATTTTTTTTATGGGTGAAATGTAAACGGTACAGGTTTAATGTTTAATTTGAATTACAAAATTTCCAATTTTCAATGAATAAATCCTATTTTAATTCTTTCATATTTCTTTTCTTTGTTAGCCAGTTCATTCGTCTTTTTTTTTTTTTATTTTCTTCATTTATTTTATTATGTTATTGGGAATTTGAATAAATCATACATACATACATACATACATTCACGCGTGTATTCATGGGATTAATGAGTTCGATTGGTTTAAAAAAAAAAAAAAATCTATATAAATTTACAATTTCCTCGGATAATTTTCTTTGGATTTCTAGACCTCACCTATTATTACACAATAAATGACTAATACAATGAAAATGATTTGAACGAATGTATGGTTCGATAAACCAAGGAGTACTAAATATTAAAATACAATTCCAAACCAAAAAGTCGGTCAATCTTTTATCAATAAAGTATTTGATGTATTTTGATATTGGTAACCAAATTATATCCCAAACGATTACCATTACCCCATGAAACACAAAAAATGTGAAATGTTCCCCAGTTGACCTTCCGAGTAATACAGTTAATAAATATTCATGAAAGATCCCACTACACGTAAAACTTGCGATTAATCCCATGTCATGACCTAATACCTGATATTTGAGGAACAAGGAACGAATTGGTAAATAACCTAATTCAAAAAAACATTCTCGTAAGATTTGATGCCACCTCCTTCCCCATAAATCTGATGGTGATATGGAAAGATAAGGTTGATTAAATAATGACGGTGTATCAAATAATAAAGTTATTAGATATTGATTAATAAACTCCACTTTTGAGTTTGTTGAAGAATTTTTGTCGGAGGAATTCTTTTGAATGTACCATATTAAAGCGATTATGACAAGAAATCTGTTATATGCGTAATCCATATTATGAGCAAGGAATCCGGCATACACATAACAATAAAATAATGTATATGGGGTGGCGATGAAAGTGTTCTTGTTTAACAATAAGTAATCAATTATTCTAAGTGGATATGATCGATCAGGTATCGTGGGTGGAAATGTTTCTAAAAAATAAAGGCATGTCTCATGAAATAAAAATCTAAAGAACAATTTTATTGATTTTTGAATTAAATACGATTTCAACTTTTCTTTCGTCATTGAATTTTTATTTGATTTCGTTGAGCCGGTATAATCCTTTCTCCAAAAGAATAATGTTAAAAAGAATGGTGGGGTTTCCTTAATCTTCTGTTTACATTTTTTTAACCAAATCAACATTTTAAAAAAACATCCAAATATTGTTACTGGAATTGGTAAATGATATATACAATTAAAATGTTTTCCATATTTCAATGGGATTAGAATAAATGTTAATGATATTATCATCAATGTAATATAACGTTGTTTGGTTGTTGGTGCTATCATCGATAATCCTATGAATGTTAATAACCATATTGATAATAAACTCATGTATAACGGAAATGATATTTGTGTTGGAATTTCTAATGCCCACATAATTATTTATTCTTTATTTTTATTTTTTTGTTTTTTTTCGAAAGAAAATACTTTGATGTGCATGAATGTTCAGTTTGTAATTTACATACACAATTTTGATAATCATACACACGTGAAATGTAACAAGTCAAGTTTTCGCGTCTATGATAAAAAAAAAAAAAACGTGTGAATTGGGTTAATATTGCTGCGGCATTGACAAATCTTTGAGAAAACTAATCTTCCTTTCGTTTTTTATTTCCGATTAAAAGGATAATGTTTATATTATTATCGGTAATACAGTAAATTTAATAAAGTGAAACTTTAGTTGATGAAATGATAAAGATATTAAGCAGAAAATCATAACAATTTCAGAATGACTTTTTTATAAAACTGAATTACCATTTAAAATCATTATTTATTAAATGAATAAAAAATCCATATTTAGTATATTAAAAATTGAATAAATTTTGTGTTACGTTTCACAAACGCGTCCTTAATAATCATTTATTGTACATACAACTTAGATACTTAGATTAAAAATACATGAACCATAGAAAGAGAGAAGATACAATTCCAAATTTTTGGAAGAATAAAGATTTTTTTGGTTATCTGACATGACTTATATATATAGGTTAAATAAATAAGTGAGTATGAAAATTTCAATATTAAATATTCCGGATTTCATAAATGTCTTTATATGATAGATAGCAAGCATTCTTTACATTTTATCTTCATCGAATCCAAACCCACCATTCTTTATCATACATTGACATCCGCAACCTGACGGACATTCCTTATTTCCTTCTTTAAACCACTCACGAAGATGCTTTGTATGTCCACCATGTGAACAAATTATACAAAAATTTGACAATCCTATTATTGTACAAATTAAAAACACATTATTACATATTAACTATAATAAGCCAATAAATATTTAATAAAGAAATACCTCTAATAGTTTGATGACAGACTGAACATTTTATACCAGCTCTCTTACGTAGACAATTTCCACACTTATAGTTACCCTTTAATTCAATACCACACTGGAAACAATGTATACCGATTTCTAAACACATAAAAGTATGAAAAAAATGAAAAAAAAAATTAATCGATCCAATACATTAAATTATATATACCCAAAGGTTCTTGTTGTTCTCCAAGAGGGCTACCAATTGTTGTCTTTACAAATTTCATAAATTTTAAAATCTCTGTCCTTGCTTCAAATAATCCCCAATGATATAATATCTCTGCATAAGCAAGACGGATTTGATCATATCTTGCATTTGTCGCTCTTTTATCATCTAATAAACTAACTTGAAATGGCCTAAGATTAAATTAAAAGTTCGATTAATATTCAATTCAAAAGGTACAATATTCTAAAATAAATTTTATGACCTTCTTTCATCGTCAAATTCTTCGAAATTACAAGGTATAAATGTTAAATCGCTGGATTTTTTCGAAGTTTCAACAAGCCTTTCATTTCCTTGATTTACTCCCATAGTTCCCCATCCAAAATGACTTGTGAATCCAACTGCGACTGGACTATCTCTTTTTGGAGTTTTTGGTGGTGATGCTGTAGTACTAAAACTTGAAGAAAAAAAGTTTGCTTCTTTCGAAATACCGCCAAAAGTTGACCTCCTTTGATGGTGTGATGTATGACCAGCTGAAGGTACCATAATAGGCCCACCAGCTCCTTCGGAATGTCCATATATATAGCCGGATGGGGTCGGAGGAGTACCCGCATTAACAAAATGACCAAACATTTCCGATTGATTATAATGATTTCCCCATGAACTTTTTGATGAATTAAATGATTCGACAAATGTCGCTCCAGATATTGATGAAAACCCAAGTTGATATGGATTTCGTTTTTCTGGATAACGTGCATAATAATTGAAATAATCCGTGCTACTGGATATATTATTAGTTTCTAAATCTGGTGAGATCTAATATGAAATAAGGCTATGGGTTTAATATTCTTTCTAGTTAAATTCAATTTAAAAACATAACACCTACTAAAGGTTGAATTTCCTTTGTTTTGACAAGTTTGCGATGTGGTGGAAAGGGTTGTCTAAAAACACATGACAACATTGCTGCTGTTTGTATATCACCTATTGAAACAAAGTGATTAAGCCTAAAGCATAATGAAATATAATTTAATTAAAATAATATACGGTATATCAATAATTTAAAAAATTAACTTACATGTCTATTGCAAGACCCTTTCCAAATGGATGGAATCCCCAATCCAATCTTCCGAAAAATTCGTGAAACGCTTCATCCATAAATGAATCATATCCATTCCTACTCTCCTTTCTTTTATTTGCACATTTCTGATAAGGTCCTGAAATTCGTTCAATTGGTATAATATCATCACTAGATAAGGAATTCTTAAATCTTTTAATTGAAACAGTTTGACTTAATATTAAAGAAGCAAGTAACCAGACTTGTTCCAAATCTGGTCGATCATTGTCTGCTGCTACTCGAGCGTTGTATTTGCAAATCTCAACCGGATCATCCCCATGAAGACTAAAACAATATTAAAAAATTAATATAAGGTATCATTATGATAATACAAATTATCAACATTATTATGCTAAATTATATTTTGTACTAACATATATTCATTTGCCAGTTTTCGATTAACTGGCATCCATTCTGAAAAATCGTAAGTATGAATAACATGCCCCGCTAACGTGGATGAATCTGGAGCATTGTTTCGTAATCCGCTCTAAATAAATTTGTATGAACAGTTAAACCAAGTATTATATGTTTCTTCTTCCTTAAATAATAAAATAATAAAGCACCTTTGGATTGAAATACAGTAATAAATCATCTTGGTCATCATCTACTTCGTAAGACGAATCATCTCCATCTGCTCCATAACGCGTAACAGGTCTTGGTAACCGAGAAATCATTTTGTACTGTTCCCAAGAATCATATGACCTAGGATGTGTGTATATATAACTTGTCTTCCCACGATTGGTTCCAGAATTACCATTTGATCTTACAGGCGTAACAGGATTACTAGCGTCAGGAGATCGTAGACTTGAAAAGAAACATACAAGCTTTCCTAGAATTCCAAAGATAAATAAGAAATTGCTCGAGTGAACAAATGCGATAACAAAGCTTTAATTAAGTTGTACATTACCAGTAACACAAAATTTTGCGCCACATAGTTTTGGAAAAGGAATATTATTATCATAATCCTTATCTCCAAGAATGTAAGTCAAGTTTTTATCATAAGATGCTCTTCTAGTAGAATTTATATAATTTTCATCATCCGAATCATCTCTCCCATATCGCTCTTGACCATCATCAGGATGTTCTCCAAGTAAATAACGAATACAAGCTTCGAGACATGGTCTTTTCTGGGATACATGCGAACTGGCTATGCGGTTTAAAATTTGTGACATATGAGTTCGATTCATTATAGAGATCATCCCAGTTTTTTGAATATCAAAAATTGGAGCAACCTTGTCAGGATATTGCGAAGGGAACGTTATATTGATGCGTATAAATGCAACCCCACTATCAGACCAAGGACCATGTAAACTTATAGTACAGCTCCTTCCTTGCACATTAAGCTGTCATACAAAGAGTAAAATAAACTTTTAAATTATTTTATAATAAATATGAGAAGATTAGACCAAATAACAAACTACCTTTTCAAATTCGACATTTGAAAATTTTTTCGAAACAGTAGCCCATTCCTCATGCATGTTTGTTGGAATATCTTCAGCACTACCGATCTCTCCACTAGGCTTAACCATTCTCACATTCTGCATCCACAACAACGGTGATAAGGAATGTCGCTCAGCTCTATACATCCCAGCAGCGGCTCCCATATAACTTTTAATATTTCCTCCTCCAGTAGAAGCCCCAGAAGGACGCAAAGTGGTAATTGTGTTCATGCGATTTCCTGGAATAACGCGAAGAGAGGAATGAGATGCTGAAGTTGACAGAGTAGGTGAGGCTGAATGATTATTAGTTGGCGGTGGGTCCCGAAAGGTGAAAGTTGAATGTCCCGTTGATGTAAGCTGATCTGTTGGACTTCTAGGTCTTCCTCTTTCATGTCCGATTGCCTTTCATGTAATTTAAATTAATGCTAATATATGTTATATAATTAATCTAAAAAAAAAAATTCTTTCGTCAGCTACCTTTAATAGTTTATCATTTATCGGCCACAGACGCAAGTGCTTATCTTTAGACCACGTAATTAATTGAAGCTCTCTATCATCTAGAGCAAATGATCAACTTAGTTCATCATCATATTAATAAATTTATGATTATTTTCAAAAAAAAAAAATTTAATAATAAAAGTGTAATTACCAATAATTGGGTCACCATCGCTTTTAATTCTCCAGACAAATTCTTTGACTACATCGCTGTGGCCTTCAAAGGCATGTACATGGGATTGAGGATTTTCCTGATTCCAAAGATATAAACTGGTTTCTGATCGTTGAGACATCGTTAGAATACCATTACCGACTGGCTAGAATAAAAATGTAATTAGTTTGACAGAAGATTCATTATTAAAAGAATAAGAATCATTGCATACTCACTGTATGCCTTGCACGCCATACTGGTGAATTTGTATATATAACGCCTTGACAGACGTCATTCTTTATATTCCAGAACTACATTCATACGTATAATTAATATACATTGCGCTAATATAAATTTTCATTAAAATTACAAATATCTGAACAAACCTTCACTGATTTATCCAGACTACAAGTAATTATATTGTCGGCGCTCTTTCTACTCCAATCAATTCCATAGATTTTAGTTGTATGTGCCCTAATACTAGTTATAGAAAGCGATCCTTTCTTTTGAAAAAATCGAATTAAAGTTTACGTATGTATATTAAATATATTTAAAAAATAACTTCATAAATTATGTTAATTTACTCTAGTATCCCATATTAATAGATCTCGATCATGAGCAGAAGCTAATAGATACTCGTTCTTTTTATTGAACTTGACATGTGTTGCACCCGCTTTTACATATTCATTAAAAGTCCGTTAGAAATTATCAAGAAAAATCCAAACGAAATATAAATAAGAGTAAAAGTCACCCACCAGTCCAAGCACAGAATGACATTGTTGGTTTTTTCGGTGTTCTTAAGTCCCATAGATGTACATAAGTATCTACCGAACACGTGGCCAATTCATCAGGATTCAAAGGGTGCCAGTTAATATCGCTTATAGCGCGGCTATGACCATGAAGAATTTGTTCAACGGCATTGGACGATGGAAGTGCTAAATTCCATATAAGACCTTTTTGATTAGACTAATATAACCAAACAATTGGAAATTAATAAAAGATGAAAGTATTAAAAATTATGATAAGGTATTGATAATTTTACCGTAGAAGCAACCCAAGTTCTACGGCATTGATGGGGGTTCCACTGCACATCAGCTACTTCCCACTTGGTTAAGTGATGAAGTTCTCGTGGAGTTTCGTACGGATTCTCGAGATCAATAATAAAAAGTCCTTTACGACTGTGTGAAATGAATTCAATACAATAAATCAGTCATAAAATAAAAAAATTTGTAATGATTATCAAAAAATACATACGCTGCCAGTACAACATCACGACTTGATGGTGAAATGGACATACTACCTACAGGCTGGTTTAGATGAATGGATAATTCTTGATAAAATGACGAGTTACGTCTTTTTATTTCAGGTGGAGAAGAATAATCTTTTGGGACTATAATTTCTGGCGTTTGCTGTTTTTGCGAAATGTTATACCGAGTAGAGGATTCTATAGGAGGTGAAGGAGTACCACGTTTATGGACTTTTGACATATGATGAAGATGTGGGGAAGCAGGACGTGAAGTACGTAAAGTTGGAATGCTAATGGGGCTTGATTGAGTAAAAGGTGAAAGTGTGGGATAGGAAGAATGGGAACTTTTTTCATGAAGTTCTACATTGTCTTCCATCTTAAAGAATGTAAATTTCAATTGTTATAAAGAAAAAGTGTTTAAATATTTATTTAATTAAGTTTTCAAGATTTTTTTTTTAATTCGTGACAGCACTTTCGCGTCGAATCTCGATGACAAGCACAAAAATTACATCATGTTGATCTACATTTGTTAGTTGTATGACAAAACTTTAATGGAAATTAACGCGACAAAAAACTTAATTTTTTTTTTTAATGACAACGATCGATCGAATTAAAAGTGGAAAATGAAAATGTTAATAAGTAGTGAAGGGAATTGGTGATAAGTTGGAAGAATACAGGAATGAAGATCAGAAAAGGTGGGAAATGAGAAAGGAGGGCTAAAAGCGAAGGAAAGAATGATTTATTAACAAAAAGAATTAGTAGAATGTAAATAAAGAAATAAATTGCATAATAAAAATATACAAAAAATATTTTGCTCATTCCATTTATTTTACATATCAGTTGATGCAACTTTTACTCATTTATTTTCTATTGAGTAAATATGCTTAATAATTTACTCTAATATTGGAATAGAAAATGATCTAAATAATTTGTTTGATTAATTTTTTTTATCTATTTATTTTTATTTGATTTTTAAAGTATACAGTATATAATATTTATATAATAAATAAAATTTAAAATTTAAAATTTCAACAAAATGCTTATAAGTAATAAGTAATATGATATAATTAAATAGTAAGCAGATCAGTAGACAGTTTATTTAATAATAATAATAAATAAATACTACCTCATTCAGTACTCTATATTGTACAAATATTATGAGAGAATTAAAGTAAACTATCTAAAGAAAAATATGTTCTGATATATTGCTAAGCTAAAGAATTATTCTTGTATTTATATAAAATTAAATATATACAGTCAACTCTTGATATAGCAAACTCTTGATATAACGAATTTTTTGAACAAATATAATAAAAATACTCTTGTTATAGCGAATTGGCCAATCAAATCTCTTAAAATCTTCATTATAGCCTTATAGTGAAGTTGAGATCTAAGACATAGAGTTCGATATAACAAGAGTTGACTGTAGAGTTATTGAAATAATAAAATAAATAAATATAATAAAATAAAATAAATATAATATATTAAATAAATGATATAAATATAATAAAAGAAATTAAAATAATATAACTATTAAATATAAAACTTAAATATTAATAAAATAAAATTTATTAAATTTATTATATTAAAATTTATATTAACTTATAAATTATATTATAATTTAATCATATAATTTATAAATTAACTAATAATTTTTTAATTAAGTTTATAAAAACAAATAAAATCCTAATTTTATTTTATTTTAGAACTTATGTATTAATAATTATGCTAGTTTTAGTATTCTTATTAACTATTTATAGGTTATTTACATTTAAAAAACATTTTTAAATAATGATCAATTTATTTATATTGACTTATTTCTTTTTAAAAATATTAAATTAAAAATATTTTTATTTATTTATAAGTTATAAAATCAGTGATAATTAAAAAAAGAATGATTAAAACTTTATAAGATAATTATCAAATGTTAAAAATAATCTTAAATTAAATTTAAATCATTCTTTCAAGAGATTTTTAACACTGATTTAAAATTCTGAATAATATATATATAAGTTAGTTAAAAATTCAAAAATTTACTAATGTTAATAAGCAAATTATTTTTACTTTTACTAAACAAATTTTTATTTGAGCTTTAAATTTTATACTATTAAGTAATTTATTTTCTGACTACATTATATTAATATATTAATAACTCTATTTTTAATAGTATTATCATTAAAATAATTAAAAATATTCTATGCTACTCCTGTTAAAGTTAATGAACTATCACCAATTATTATCCTATTTGATCTGATATTATATATAATATTTTAAGGACAATGATGAGTAAATAATGTATAACTTTCTATAGTTTGACTTGTAAAAATATTGAGATAAATTAGCAAATATACTTGTAATGAAATATAAGATAAATCTTTGATTTAAATAACTGTATTTTGATTAAAACAATAGTTACCATAACCTTTATAATACATAGCTATTACCTTGCTAATGTAAATCTTTGTTCTGTATAACACAATTACTTAGTTATCTTATTGCAATAGAAAATTTTGAGTGATATTTGCTAATTCAATATATAAAACTAATTAAAATAATAAATTATTAATAAATTATATAAACAAATTACATATTTAATATATTATAGTTACTTTCATTTATAATTTTATTTTTTTTTTTATCTTGATGATTCAGACTATTAAAAACTTATAAAATAAACTTTTGTTGTTCTTCAATTTTCTTTTCATTATTTTTCATGCTATCTTATAAATCATATTTCTAAATAATCATTATTTGTAAAATGTAAAACTATATAATTAGCCTTATTTAGATTAATAGAATTTATCTTTTTACAACTAATCATATGTTTATGATTTTATTTTTTAATTAGGTTTGAGTTATATACTTTATGATATCTTCACAATATAATCATAGTTGGATAATTCAGATCTCCTATTAGGAAGATATCTAGTAATAAAATCTTTTTAAATTATTAATTATATTAGTAATATTTATTAAAATTCTTATAAATATAATATAATTAATTAATCTTATCAAAAGTTTACTTATTATAAAAGATTCTTGTATTATTTAAGGCTAAAATAATTTATTTTGATAAATTTGATCATTTTCAATTAATGTACAAATTAGACTTTAGTATATACTAATTAATTATCTTTTATAAAAAAAAATTCTGAACTTTTTAAATTTTTCAGATTTATTGTATTTGTTAAAATATATATTAATAAAAGAAAAAATGTATTTGTAACAACATTGTTATATATCTTATTTATAACATCCTTTTTTATTTTTCTTAATAATAAATTATTTTAAATATTTTATAAATAAAATTTTTATATACAAAATTTAATTTGGAAAATTTTTACTTAATATACAAAAGGTATCTTCATAGACAAAATTTTAAGTTATAAATAGTTTCTTAAAATTTTTAAAAAAATTTTTTTTTGCTAAATTATTTACGTTATACCTGATCTTAAATTTTGATTAGATAAAATTGAAGTTGTTACAAATAAGATGTGTAATATGTTATTATAATTAGATTCATTCTTAATAAATAATAAATTTTTTTGAATTTTTTTTTAAAAAATATGAATTAGTTTTTAGTTATATTGATCAATATATAAATAAATAATTAAATTTTATGATAAAATATAAATAATAAAACTTTTCATGACAATCGAAAAAAATTAATTATATCAGAAATTTTTTAATCAATTTTAAAAGATTCGTTTAAATTATTATTCAAATTTTAAACTTCTGGTTTATATTTCTAGATTTTGCTTTTCTATTACTAAAAATAGTTATAATAATAGTTGATTTATATTTAAAATTTTTATATCAAGCTTTGATAAGATCTAATGCTAATTTATATGAACATTTAATAATCAAATTAATATTAATATCTGATGATTAAGCATATAATATTTTAATTTGCTTGAGTTAATAATTCTGATATTATAATCAAAATGATAATTTATTTAAAAATTAAATAAATTTATTTAGCAAACTTTTAAATACACTGCTAATTTATCCTAATTTTCACTTTAAACTTGATAAATTTATAATTATAAATTATATTTGCGAAAAAAACTCTTTCCTATCGATCACTTTTCGAAAAAAGTCTAAGAAAATAAAAATGTTCACCTTCAACGTCCTATATATCTTTTGACTCTGTTAGATAGTCTTATAGTTCTACAACAACTCAAATACACTTTTACAATCAGGGAAGAGTTTATTTTAGAAGTTACTTTTATTCACTATGATCAGAAAAAACTAAAACAAACAAACGTCAATGAAAAATAAGCATCGTTTCAATCTAACAGAATACTAACAAACTCCCAAGATACCAGTTGCTTTAACCTCTGGCTCTGGAGAACAACTAGACTCATCTTCAGCTTCAGACGCTACCCTTATTGAAAACTTTTTCAAACCAGTGACTTCCATTCCCTCCAACATCTTGGATAAGGATGAATACCTTCCTATAGAAGACGATCCTAATATGAAAATGGATCAAAACAAAGATTTTACAGTTATTACTCGTTCAATCCCATTCGCTTATGCAGCAACCATTCTCAAAAGCTCTAAAGACCTCCTCACTGCTACTATTTCGAAGATTGTTAATGCTTACTTCGCTCTTGACGATGCGTTCAGGGGATTAACGTCCACTATATTAACCTTGTTCAGTCGATCGTGATCTACTTCAATGATCAGCAATCTATAGAATCAGCTCTTAATGCGAAATTTCCCGATTTGGATATCAACCAGCTGGTTCAATATGCAACTTATAAAGAAAATATGCAATTCCCTCAACGCACACTTAATATCACTGATATCCATCTTAACCTCAAAAAGGAACAGCTCACCAACATATTAGCTAAATACAGCAAGATAGTTACTATACAAATGTTCACTAGAGATCTTTGGCAACAAGCTTACATCACTTATGAAGATCCTAAGAGTGTTGATCTTTTCTATACTCAATGGTCACGTTTTATTTACAATGACTGCGTCCGGGTATATCCGGCTTGCCTCACCCAGAACAAGTTAAACAACGTAATTTTTTTAGAATGAGACTTACCAATTTACCCTTCAACACCTCTGCTAGGGATCTGCAAGACATCACCTTAGCCACTAAAGCTAAAGCCCTCTACATCCCTCGCTCCAACAATTATAAACCTCGACCCTTCGCAGTCTTTTACTTCAAAACAGAGATAGACCTCAACAATGCTGTTAAATAATCTTTTGCGTTCAGTGACAATGAACTTCAATGGTATTCAGCTGACGCAAGATGTTGCCATAAATGTGGTTCCTCAGAACACATTGTCATGAAATGCCTCCAAATCGTTCCATCAGTAAATGACGATCCTGTCGATCAGCCTAAAACTCCAATTTACAAGC